TCTTTCAAACAAAAAAAATATTAAATACAGAGGGCCAAAAATAACGAAACCCAGGCAAAAACCACAGCATTTTTTCGATTCTATTGTCAGGGCAAAACATAGAGTTATTCGGGTCATATGAAAGAAGATCCTTGATAACCCCTATATTGGGCCGAACAACCCCATGTTTTGGCCTGACAATAGAATCGAAAAAAATTCTGTGGTTTTTGTCTGTGTTTTGTTACTTTTGGCCCATCCTGTATATTGAATGAGTGCCAAAAGAGAAATTTGAGTTACCAAATAGGTTATTGTTGACCCTTGTTTGATTAGTATCTCCCTCAAACGTCATGATATAGAGCTGAAAATTTTACCATAGCCTCCACATTACAGTCCCAACATATCCTGAAAATCACAGATTGTTTCACTTGACTTGGTACGAAATTAGCTTTTGAGGAAGGAAGCCCTAAAAATGGGTCAAAAATGACCCAGGCTAGGAGTACTAGGGTTAATAACTGAATAATATTAGATAGCTATTGGTTTTCATTATCAGAAAATAATCTACATTCACATATCCATAGCAATAAGAACAGTCTTGTTAGTGCTCATTTTTTTTCATGAATTGTACTCATAAAATTAAGCGCTCTCAATTGTTGTCTTTTTTCTTCTTACCTTTGAAATATATCGAAATCAAAACATTACAAATGAGAAATAACATTGTATAGTCTTTAACTAACCTTTTCACTTATCTTGGAGTACGGTGAACATTTAAATACTTCTCTGATTGTCAAAAATTAATTAACAGAACAAATATAAACGTTTGTAAAAAATATACCATTTAAGAAGATGTTTGTCTAATGTATTAGAGAGAACAAAAACGAATGTATTGATTGACATTGCAAAAAAAGACCTTTGCGTAAATGGCAACATGTAATTTATATCGTCCTGAATATTTGTAATCATACAATTTTTATTCTATATCTGTGTATACTATCATTGTTACTTCAAATATTTATTGTTTTTATTACTCTGTGCAGTGAGATACATAGGTATGCCGAATTAAATATTCGTCTTTCATCATCAGAAAGATAAAATGACCTTAGAAAAAGTTTGAACAACATAATTATAAGTATTATTGTTGTATTTATTTTGTCTCTGTTTTAGTTTTTTCTGCTTGTCAATTAACACTGATTTAATGCGTAAATAATAATCAAGTACTTTAAACTAGTTTTATTCATCAATATACTATTGATTCTAAGCTGTGTTTACTATCTTAGAAATACTCTCTTCTTCAATTGCATCAATGAAAGCTCATATGTCTTAATGATATAACAGCCGAGCATCATCCTACTACTAGAAGGAAGAAAAACGTAATAATTATCATCAGTAACACTATTGTTGCGTGGATTTCCTTGAAGATCGTAGGGTACTGTCCTGTTATTCACGATCTCCTGGTTACGCTTCTAGAATGTCTGAAAGCAAAAATTACAATTTATTGATCGAAAATAAAATTTGAAGAGAAATACTGATAGAAGAAGTATTTTGTTGAAATTACAAATAAACAAAAAGCATCAGTAAGATTAAGAATGTGTTTAGTTATACATCGTCATGACTATTTTGAAAAAAATTACAAATCAACATACAGAATTTCTCTATGACAATCATCCAGAAAATTCTAACTAAAAGCTCATAATCTAAAAAAAATGAAAATTTCGTTTGTTAGTGAATGAACAATTTGTTTGCAAGAATAGTTCATTGTATCAATCGCTTGATCATCCTAGATAAGTTTATAGTGAAACCTCTCATCTGCTAATAATATTCATTAAAATTTATTCCATTATTTTGTAGCATTATGAATTGATAAGATTAGTAAATAATTCTTAAACGAATAAAGTATTTTATATATGATAGGACTATAGCGTCATCTATTAACATTCCTTTTTTTTTCAGACAATTCTTGAACGATGGCATCAAACAAAGAGTATAGAATTAAAGAAAGAAAGAAAATATGTAGTTAAAACAAATGTTTTTATTAGAAATATTTTTTTTTAAACAAAAGTTTCTTCTTTTCATAAAAATATGAGACATTTTTTCACGTAGGCACAAATAAGTACCATATACATACACAAAACTTATTGTTTTATTTTATATTTCATTTCCATTAACATTAAAATAATAACAGATCGTTACTATCAATGTAAAAAATTATATTAAAAATAGATAGATACTAGCGATATGTACTAATTCGAATATAATCAATTGAATGTGTCTTTTATTTGTATTTCAATCGTTTGACTGTTTTACTTTTAGAAAGATGACATCATTTGCAAGTACGTTCGGTTCATCAGATGAAGGACAAAATTATCCGAACAATAATGGTATTAATTCAACGAAAAATACAGATGATCAACAAGGATCAAATAATTTTTCAAGTGTAGATCTTGATCAACAATTAATATTAAACAAAGAACATCAGTCACCCTATGTTAGTCTTAGTGACGCAGCAACATTTCAAACTGAACTATCATCAATGGCTGGCATCGTAACTAACAATCCTTCACGTAACCTACCATTTTCATCTCAGGATCGCCTTTCTAGTAGGATGATATGTTTTGAAATTCTTGAAAATTTATTTTTAAATTTATTGTTTTCCTAAGATCAAAGCTTTTCATCAAATACAATAAAGAATACATCTTCAGTTCCAACTGATCGACGTATATCCATTCCAGATATGTCAAGATTATCAGCATCATCAGCTGCAGCCGTTGCTTCCGTTGGACCAACTATTGATAAATTAAAACAATGGAGTCGTTCAACATATAAATGTACAAAACAATCAATTTATGAAAAATTAGGCAAAACAACACGTACAGTTGATGTTGAAGTTGATACTCAAATTGAGGTTTTAAAATAAAAACAATAAATATTTCTCATTATTTTATTCTTTTATTTTATTTTCTTAGCAACTTAGAGAAACAAAACGTCGATATGAAAATATGCTTGCTTTAGCTCGTAGTTATGCGAATCATTTTTTAAGCTTAATGCAAACACAAAGAGTTTTGTGTAAGTAAAAAAAAAAAGATTTTTGTTTTTATGAATCTCTTTTTTTTGTTTGTTTTACGTTAGGTGATCAATTTCTAGAATTAAAACAAAAATCATTTCTTCTTTGTGATGAATTTCATTATAATGCTGAAACACAACGAGTATTAGTACGAAATGGTGAAATATTATTAAATGCTTTACATTATTTTATATCAACATTGAATACACTTTGTACGAAAACAATTGAAGATACAATGACTACAATTCGACTTTATGAAGCAGCAAGGTAAAATATTTTCGAATAAAAATTTGATTTTGTTTTTTTTTTTGTTTGTAGACTTGAATATGATGCTTGTCGAACAGAAATGGAACTTTTATCACCAGGTTCACAAATGAACGAAAAACAAGATGAATTTCAAAAATATAAAGACAAATATGAACAATTAAAATGTGATGTTATTATTAAACTTAAATTTCTTGATGAAAATCAGGTTTGTTTTAATGAAAGATATATATATTGTTTTTTTATTAATTATAATTTTTGTTTTATCTCTATAGACAAAGGTTATGAAAAAACAATTACTTCTTTTTCATAATGCTATTGCTGCTTATTTTTCTGGTAATAAAGAAGCACTTGATGCAACTATGAAACAATTTAATTTAAAAGTTAATTCGAATGATGATAATGATCAAGATAGAAAGTCATTTTTAGAACAGTTAAATCATTAGTCTTCTCACTATCTTATTATGTTTTTTTTTTGTTGTATTCATAAGGTGAATGGTAATTTTTTTTGTGTTTTTATCTTCTTTCTATTACATTTATCATCCGTCACATATTGGTCGAATTTTTTTCTCTTTAATGTACATGTATTGCTATTGTTTTTAGTCATATATAGATATTTCTTTCTTTTTTTGTTTGGTGGTATTTGTTTTTTTTTCTGTTTATTTGTTGGTTGGATCTTAAAAAAAATACAATAAAAGGGAATTAAACAAAAAACAAACATTTTTATTTGAAATCAATCTTTGTTCTTTTTTTCTTTCTGTGTATATATTTTGAAAAGATGATTTATGATTGTGTTGTTATACCTGGTGGTGGTGTTGATTCAAATGGATCTCCATCAGCTTGGGTATGTGCACGACTTGATCGTGCACTTGAAATGGCTTCATCAACATCTTATTTTTTGGTTTTAAGCCGCGGTACAACACATCATCCACCTATACTTGATAAAAATTTATTTCCAATTGATGAAGCATCAGCTAGTGCTGCTTATTTAATTGAACATAATATTCCATCAAATAAAATTTTAATAGAAAATTGGTCATTAGATACAATTGGTAATGCTTATTTTGCTCGACAATGTATTTTAGAACCAATGGAATTATATCGTTTAGCTGTTATAACAAATGATTTTCATATGTCTCGAACAAAACTTATATTCGATTGGATTTTTTCATTATCAAATTTAACAATAGATCGTTGCGAAAAATATCAAATTGATTATTTTACTGTTAATAATCAAGATATGACTGATGAGCAATTATTAGCACGTATCAATAAAGAACGTGTAGCTTATGAAGATGTTAAAATGAAAACACAACAAATAACAAATCTTTCTCAAATGGCTCAATTTTTATTTGTTGAACATGGAGCATATAAAGCAAAACGTCTTCATTCACGACGAAGTCAATTAGATCCTTTAACTGCATCAACATATTAATTTTTATCATAGCAAAGATATGTATATGAAATGAATACATAAGAGACATAAACATTCACACAAAAATCAAAATTGAACAAATAGAAAGAAATGAAAATATTTATTTAATTTTGAGAATAATATTAAGAAGATGACTTGCATTAGCTTTTTTTTCATTGTATTAATTTTTTTTCTTCATAAATATAATTCCATTGTTCATATCGATTATTTGTTCGTCAACATCGAGTAAAGCTGCTCGAAGTGGTTCAAGATTTTGATCAGTAAATAAAGAAAAAAAGATATCCAACAAATCATTTCTTGAAAAATTTTTCATTAGCCTTTTTCAAATATAAATGTGATCAACCTGTACATTTCAATCTATCGGAGTATATTCAATAAAAAAACCGGCAAAACTGTCTTCAAACCATTACGATTTTTATTACGGTCTGAAAAATAGAAGTTAAATTTCCTATTTTTCATGCTCTACCGATACTAGCTGTGTGACAGCTCACAGTTTAATGACTCGGCGGAGCTGTAATATTGAGCCAGGCTAATTGGCTCAACTAGGCCAAAACTGTTGATATGTTTGCGATGTAATCTTAGTGTATGGGTGTAGATTATTTCTTCACACATAGTTATCCACACCCTTTTACCTCTTCGTTCTATGCCCGGTTATATGTTGTTTTTCTAAAATAATTACATTTTTTTATCAAGCTTAGTGGAATTAAAATCATAGAAATATCAGCTGGCCTGATTTACCCTGAAGACCACGCCGAAAAAAAAGGTGGCCTGTTAACAGCTCAGATTTCTATCAAGGTTGCTTGAATGATGACTCATTCTTTCTCTATTTAACTGCATAATTAGCAATGATCTTGATCATTGAATTCAGGCAAAATAACTATTTTGATTAATATTCGCCGTAATTTCTAGAAAGAAACACTTTTAAAAATAACGTACAGATATTTAATTTGATTTGTTTGTAAGAAAATTTTGTTTATTTCGTTTTTTCGTGCAACTAGATGTGTGAAATCTAGCACCGCTAAAACATTGTTATAGGTATTGAAAAGATTTAATAAATATTCAAAAAAAAAATTACACAGCTACTAAATAATTTAAATAGTTGATTTGTTTGCCTCATTAATTCAATGCACTTACTTTCTGTATATAAATGTTTAAAGCAAATATCACTTAACATTTAATCGTACGGGAGAGGTCTAATAAGAAACCATTAATTTATATATTAAATGACTAATACGAATTTATCACAATCGAACATTTTTTCTTGATTGCTCAATATGGAAACTTATTTTCTTCTGAACTTTTTAAACAACCAATATTCAATGGTAACCGTTTTTATTTAGACTAAACAAACAATTAGGCGACGCTCTGTTTCTTATTCATGTACATATTTTCAAACTTTGTCACTCTTTGCTCGAAAGAAATCAGTTAAAATAAAAAATTAGACGAATGCCATTTAAATCACCATGAAAGTTTATTAACTATCTCTAATAATCTCTAAATAATTCTTGAGATTAAACAACGGCATATACAAGCATAATCAAATTAGCTTACAAGAAGAAATCAACAAATATATTAATGTTAAACGTTAAAGAGTAAATATTATGTCAAACTCATTAAACTTGCTTTTTTGAAAAAATTATATCTCTTTTTGGAATGCTCCAATAATTTTATTATAGTAAAGATATGTATAGTAAATGAATACATAAGACACGCGCACACTCACACAAACATCAAAATTAAACGAGTAAAAAGAAATAAAAATATTTATTTTGTTTTGCGAATAATATCAAGAAGACGACTTGCATTAGCTTTTTCATTATTATTGATTTTTTTCTTCATAAATATAATTCGATTTTTCATATCGATTATTTGTTCATCAACATCAAGTAAAGCTGCTCGAAGTGGTTCAAGATTTTGATCAGTTGTACTAAATTAAAAAGAAAATATTCAACAAAATATTTTTTGCAAAACTTTTTTTATTAATATTTTCAAAATATAAATAGGATCAACATTTTAATCTCAATCTATCAGAGTGTTCAATTAAAAAGCGATAAAGCTTTCATCGCTTTCCATGAACTTTCTTCAAGCTATTATGCTGTTTATCATGGTCTGCAAAATAGGAGTTCAGTTCCCTATCTTTCATGCTCTTCCGATATTATAGCGAAGTCTATTGAACAGCTCTTGTCGTACGAACTGAATGATAGAATACTTCGTTTATGCTAACCAATCGGTTCACGAATGCTGCATTTTAGATCATGTAAACTGAATTAGACATGTCAGTTGAAATGGGGTCATTAAAAATATATTTGAAAGGATACAATCAGGCTTTTAGAAATTCCAGCTCACAAGAAGACGTTTTCAACTATCTTCTTTCGATTTCAATGACTTTTTTGCTTTTAGATACTACATAATATTCTAATAAAAACTCTTAAAAGATTTGCGTTCCTACTAATATTTTACTAAACTCTCAAATTCTTAATATGTCTATTGTTGTAGAAGTACCAGATCTTCAAAAAACTCGTATTTTCGAATTTTGATCTCAAACTTGGTGCATATAGAGAACTCAATTAGACTAATTTTCATTAAAGAAAATTCAGAATGTTTGAACAAAACCTCTTCGAGATATTAGACTTTCAAGACATAGATTCTTTTCAATGGGTGGTGTATACAATATACATTTTTTTGAAAGTTTCATATCTCGAAGAGATTTTATTCAAAACTTCTGAATTTTTTCAATGAAAGCTGGTCTAGTTGAGTTCTCTATATGCGCCAAGTTTCAGATTAAAATTCGAAAAATCTGACTTTTCTGGAAACCTGATGCCTCTAGAAGCTGGACATATTAAAAATTCGATAATTGAGTCAAATCTCAATAGGAATCCAAATTCTTTTAGGGATTTTATTAGAATACTGGAATATTTAAAGGAAAAAAAAAACTCATTGGAATCAGAAGGATCAGTTCAAGAAGTTCCCTTGTTAGTTAGTCGATATGGATCTTTGCCACACACACCTATTCAATACTCAAAACAGCTCCATCATATTTAATACTTTAATCCTACAAGAATAATGATCTTCTCTTTTTCTTTTAAACTTACAATTTTTCTTTTCGTAATTCAATAACTGTTCTTTTGTATTCATCACTGTAATGTTGCATTTCTTTAGCCATCATTTCATAATCTTCTTGAAGATATTCGAGTATTTTACCTAATGGTACAACACTAATAAATAAAAGAGAATAGGTTTTATGGTTTTTTTTTTGTTTTATAAGAACAAAAACCTTTTCGTAAGTGATTGAATTGTTTCACGAAGTTTATCAACATCTTTTTGAATTTTTTCACGTTCGCGTCGACGTTGAGCATCATTTTGTGCAATTGTTTTCTAATAATAAAACAATTAAATTTATCTTATTTTAACAACATATTTACCACATCAGAACGTTGTCCAGCTATTTCACTTCCATGTTCTAATTGTTTTTTTGAGTCAATCATTTTTTTAACAAGTGCACCATGTTGATCACCTTCTTCATCATCATGATCACCAATGCCGCCACCTCGATTATCCAAATCATCTTGTCTCTATCGAGAAAAAAAATAAAGTTTCAATTATGAATAAAACAAAAAAAAATTAAATTTAATATTTACAAATGATTTTGTTAATGAAGGTTTTTCTTCTTGTATCAGAAAATTGGCATCATCATCATCATCATTGTCATTATGCATATCATTATCACGACTACCTTTACTTTCAATAATTAAAGTTCCTTGACCACGTTGTGCTGCACTAGGCACTCTTTTCAAAAGAAAGACAAAGCAAATAAAAGAAAGACAAGGAGCACTACAAAAGTTTTTTCATCAGCCCTTTGAAGAAATATCTCATGGCTGCTTCTAGTGTACAATCGAACATTCGATTAGGCTTCTTATTCTCTATTCTAATGATCGATCATAACTGATAATGTTAAATAAAAGATTTGTTCTTGTGATCTATTTAAAAAACGACGTATGACTGATATGAAAG